CTTGAAACCATCAATTTCCAGTCCTCTGGCCCTGCTTCCATGCTTTCTCTCTGGCCACAACCCTGCAGTTTCCTGCTTTTTTCCCCCAATATTAAATCACTTGACTCTCTCAGCCCCTCTTGTAGTCAGGGCTGGCTTAGACCCAGGCTCTCCAGCCCACAGGCAAGTCACCCTGATATAGTGAACATGTAATTAAAGACAGCATCATAATGCATATGCACAAGGTGACAGAATTAAGGTTTTGCAGTCAACCTTAATTCTGGCATTTCCTACCATTTGAGTGCTTGATTTTGCAACCTTAATCTTTTAATGTGTTGTATTTGTGAAATATAGACATGAGCCACCTTAACTAGATGTAACTTCAGCATCTTAGTATTTTCATATTAACAGTTATTGGAAATAACGACTGTAGCTCCTGTTCATTAGCATTTCAGTGGGTACTTCAAACAGACATACAGAAAAGATTTCATGTGTGTTAATTTTAGCAAGAAGTGTGGCATCAACGTGAATAAGGATCATAAAAGGCCAGTTTTAACATAGATTTGTCATCAAGTAGGCATATTTGAAAAGTTGCTTTGAAATGTTTTACAGAATCCTGAGTAAGACCTTGTATCAATTCTACAGAAGGTTTGTGTTGAGGAAAACACAATATTAAAATATTCTGGAGTGTCTGAAATTTGTTTTTAATGAAAAATGTTGAAATAATTTACTTTGGGCCAAGAGAAAAATTGCATTAACTTACACATATATGCCCTGAGTTCCATCTAATAGGCAGGTGTCAGAATCCAGTTCCCAAATTTTATTTCATATAAGCAAGGAAGATATTTTAACTATAACCTATGTATTACAAGGTGGAGCCTTACTGGAGCACCCTCCTAAAGCAGGCTGGGGCATGACAAACAACTACCTTTGCTTCCCTTTGGAATTCACCCATACAAAGGAATATTGTCTCTCGGTGGCAAATTCAAACTCTTTTATTTATAAAGTGCCATAGTCCACAGATCCCTCATAGTAAAAACAGTTTCTTTCAAATCCCCAAAGTAAAACAAGATTATAACACAGCAGCTCTTCAATCCCTTTTAAATGTGACCATTTCTAGATCACCCACCAGAGTCATTGATCGTTCTGTCCCAGTGCCTTGAGCAAGGTCTCACTCTCCAGGCCATCAAACTGAGAGTTACAAGACCCACTTCTCTCCTTCGACACTTCTCCCATTGCCCCAAATCAGATGTCCCATTCAGCCAGGCCTCCCTGCCTGTGAGTCATAGAATCATAGAATATAAGGGTTGGAAGGGACCCCAGAAGGTCATCTAGTCCAACCCCCTGCTCGAAGCAGGACCAATTCCCAGTTAAATCATCCCAGCCAGGGCTTTGTCAAGCCTGACCTTAAAAACCTCTAAGGAAGGAGATTCTACCACCTCCCTAGGTAACGCATTCCAGTGTTTCACCACCCTCTTAGTGAAAAAGTTTTTCCTAATATCCAATCTAAACCTCCCCCACTGCAGCTTGAGACCATTACTCCTCGTTCTGTCATCTGCTACCATTGAGAACAGTCTAGAGCCATCCTCTTTGGAACCCCCTCTCAGGTAGTTGAAAGCAGCTATCAAATCCCCCCTCATTCTTCTCTTCTGCAGGCTAAACAATCCCAGCTCCCTCAGCCTCTCCTCATAAGTCATGTGTTCCAGACCCCTAATCATTTTTGTTGCCCTTCGCTGGACTCTCTCCAATTTATCCTAGGAATCTCAGGAGTCCTAACCCTCCTCCTGAGATTCACCATCGGCATTAACCCGCTTCATCCCCTTCTTCATCAGAGCTCCTGCATGAGCTTTCCTTTAACTTGGCAAGGGTTCCCCAGTACTGGCCTGTCCTCATCATTAACCTTTTGCTCTTCCCAGAGGCTCTCTGCACTAGCTGGCTGCTGCTGCTGGTTCTGCTCCTACTTCTCCCCCCTCCCACCCTGGTCTCTCCTTTACCTCCTGAGGCAGCTCTTACCCGACCTTCTCTGTTTCTCTGTCAGTGTTTTCGGGCAGCTCTGACTCACCAGGGCTCTCTCCCGTCCAAAAGCCAGATGCCCTCCTTTAAGTCCAATTGGAGTGAGCTGACAAGTCACAGGTGTACTGGTCTCTTTCCCGTTAAAGGGTCAGTGACACCTGTGATACTATTCTTTTCTCCTATGTCAACAATCTTAATTAGGAGTTCTCAAACTGTGGTCTGTGGAATACTGCTCAGGACCTGCCAAGAGCTGGCTAGAGACATAGGCCCAGATCCACAAAGGTGTTTAGGCTTCTAATTTCTATTGATTTCAGTAAAAGACAACTAAAAGTAGACTAAATGAGTGCCTAATATTAAATTTCCATGTCAGTGATTGCTGTAGTCATCCAGAGGGATGTTGTGCAATCACAAACATAAAGGAAGGTTGTTGTCACAGTCATGACTGGACAGGGATGGTAGTCTGTGCTTTGGTGAATGGGAGAGGAGGTGGTCCTCTGGATGATCTCTATTAATATGTGATCCACATCATGAAAGTGTTTGATAACCTCCAAGCTAAGGCCTTTTAAGATTTTCAGATTCTAAGTCAGTGAGCATTTGCAATATGTCGCCTTTCAGGTTAAACATCAACTTTCTCCCCTAATAGATATAGCTAAACCCCAAGTATTTTTGTTGAAAGATGTTTTCTGGAAAAAGACTGTCATGTCCCTAATGAAGATTGCTCCTGATTAGGTTTATGGTGATGTATTTATCAAACTGAAAAATGTTGTCGTTTTGTTTTGTATTTTAGTTTTCAGGTCATTTGCAAACCGGTTCTGTTAGTTGCATAACTATTCAATATTCACCAGATATTTCAGGCTAATTCTTTGTGAACTGCTCACTTTTAGTATTTACTATCTGTGGCCTTGTGATTGGTTAGGTATCTGCAGTTTTTTCAGCTTCCTGATTTAAAAAACATGTCCATAAGGATATGCAAATGTTTAAGTTCTTTGCTGAATCAGGCCCTGGATGACAGAATTTTTTCAGCAAAAACAACGAGGAGTCCTTGTGGCACCTTAAAGACTAACACATTTATTTGGGCATACGCTTTTGTGGGCTAAAATCCACTTCATCAGATGCATGGAGTGAAAAATACAGTAAGCAGTATAAATATTACAGCACATGAAAAGATGGGAGTTGCCTTGCCAGTGAGGGGTCAGTGCTAATGAGGCCAATTCAATTAAGGTGGAAGTGGCCTATTCTCATCAGTTGACAAGAAGGGGTGAATTCAGTAGAATTTTTTCAGTAGAAGAATAATGTAGAACAAATGGTGAATAACAATTCATGACGTTTTATAATAAATATGTGAAATACTGGAGACTCATAAACATATTAATAATTTAATGGCAATCACTAATATTCTTGCCAATAGTATGATCCACAAACAGCAGCAAATCAAACTGCTTATTCACAAGTCTTTTTTTCCCATTACTCAACCAGTTCTAGTGCTGATAGATAAATTACATCAACTCTGCAACCATTAAAAAATGTAGCTATATAAAATGTCAATGTTGTAACTCAGTTGAAGTTCCTTTTATGTTAGACTATCACTAAGTTTGACAAAAATTTGTATTTTGATCATAACAATAAGATTTTTTAAAATATTAGAATGAGAACCTTCAAAAGCAGTAAATGCTAAAGTTCAAGAATGTCAAAATGTCTATTTTTCAACATCTCAAGCTTTACTACTTTTTTAAATAATACCAAAAGGATCAACTTTCTACCTAGAGTTTTATTAATTTATCAATTTCCTACAAACCATTCATTTGTTAGAACCTCTTTTTTGAGATCTGGCATTTCAAAAAGATTATCCAGACATAAAATTTTAAATAAACAAATCTCTAAAGATGAGATGACATTGCTGCTTATGAGACATTAATATGAGGACAAGGTATTGTTCCCTTGGGAAAACTCAGGCTTTTAGTAAACCAAGAGGCTATATTAAACATTTTGGAAAGTGTTCTGTAAATCAAGGGTGTGGGGATCGTGAAATGGGGCTCAGTAGCTCTATAAGTGAAGTCAGTGGGATTTTTGCTGTTGATGTCAATGTGAAAACCTTCCAGACCCTTTTTAAATTTATAGCCAGGAGTGCTGAAGACTGCCTGTCTTTACATTCTGAATCTAGTTTACATGAAGACATAAATATATGTTAAATGTGCACACTGTGTATTTTGGTTTGGAACTGTAATACCGATGCTATTAGAGATGTGGATAGAGGTAAATTTAAATGTTAATAGACTTTTAATTGTAAAGCGCTTTCATAAGTTTAACCGCAAGTTAAGTTTAACCTCAAGTTAAACCATACGTTTAATCTTTTTAACCTAAAAGAGGTCAAAGAATTAACATTCATATTTCAGCGGCTGACAAGAGAGCAGTGCTAGTTAATTGGTTTAATAATGTCCACTGGTACTGTGGTGGTACCTTACTGTAGTTTTACAAGGCTTTAAAGAAATCTTGCAAAATCAAACAGACTATTTGCAAAGGTTAAAGTAGACAGAGAGGTGAAGCAGACAGATACTGATCTCATAGTTAGACAGTCGCCAGTGATTTGATTATGTACACAAAGTTTGTTAGAAACCGAGTGAGAACCAATTATTATATAATCGATTTAGCCTTTTGAGTTAGTTCTAAGTAGTCTTCCAAAATCTCTCTCAGAGGATTTTACAAATGGTGCTTTTTAGTTTGGATTGTTTAGTTTTTTATTTTGTAGTGGACAGTTATAAGTCAGATCTGGCCAGGTTCTAAAAAGCTGTTTAAAAAAAACAACAAAAAAAACAGCCTAAGATCTCTGATACTATGTTGTAAATATATATTATTTTTACAGATTTTTTTTTAATCAATAGACTGCTGTAATTCTCTCCTAGTGTAACGGGCTTGGTGCCTTGTCACAAACAGAAAATAAGATGTACTGTTATTGGATAAAAAGAACAATGATAATAAAACTGTATTCTCAACATTAATATTTTTTCCAGTCTAAAACATATATGTGCAGCTGGCAAGGAGTAACTCTGTGTTTCACAGTTGACTTTGCCTTGGGATTCACCTGTTTTGACAGTAAAACAAAGGTAAGAGGAAAAGGAGCTAAAAACATAATCTGTTCTATTCTGCTGTTAATGAGCTTGGTTTTAATAATATTTTACAGTTACCTAGCACTTTTGATCCCAAAGCACATTACAAAGTCTGTTGATATGGTCCCACACTGAAACGCGCCCAGCTGTGAATTGGAAAGGGATAGCCCGCCTGTGCCATAGCATGGAAGGGGGCATTTTGGCCAAGGACACCAAGACAAATGGTTATTTTTACAAGAAACAAACAAAAGAAAAGTAATTGGATATTTAACCCAGACCTCAGTTTCTAAGGTTTCATCCCAAAAAAACCACAAGATGGACAGCGGTTTACTGATCTCGAGAAAATGAAGTGGTGTGTGATTTGAACCTGTGTGTTTAGGAGAACAGTAAACCACTCCTTACCATAAGACAATTAAAAGATTGAATTGGGCTTAGCCCTGTGTGGAATTTCAAGAAGGAAGGAGAGGATGCAAGAAACCTTCCTTTCCCTTCTAGCCTTGCAAGACCCAGTAAAGGTTGGTCCTTGTGCTCTACTGATGCTGGTGTTAAATTTCCTAAAGTGAATGGAGAAGGGAAATGGCAGTGGCAGGCCCCTGTCTACTGAAGCTGCAGTAGTGGAGAAGGAGCCATTTTCTACATCTGCAGAGGATGCAAAGCCAGCAAAATGTTCTGCCATTCAAGGAAAATTTAATGTGAATCTTATTGCATTTTGTGAGCAAACCCCTGAGCTTAGATAAATTGGTGTAAGTCCTTTCACTTGAACAGAACTATGCTGATCTACACTAGCTGACGATCTGTGTTTTTAGCAACACAGTAACTCTGGCAATAAATAAATAAATCACTTTTTAACCTTAACACTGGGGGATTACTCTTAGAACAGAGCAATATTTTTTTTAACAGTGTGAAGGAAGTTGATTGAACCGTTTTGGATTTTAGAGAAAAGCAAAAATATGCCCTTCTTTGAAATGTGGACCAAAGTATTTGTTTTTTAGAATATGTATCAGTAATTTGAAAGTGGCTTTGTTTAAAGATTTCATGACTAGGATCTGCTCTCATCGGTGCTGGTGTAAATCTGGACTAATGCCATAGCATGTGCAGTATTATTTACTAGGGTATAAAATTTCAAGAACTGTACATTCACATTCTTCTTTCTTTCTTGCAAGAGTGTTGGTATTAATTACATTGCATTTGGCCTTCACAAATACATTCTACATACCTTTTTTATTTCAGCAGTTTTAAGTTGGCTGTGGCTTTTCTGTACACTTCTTATGCTAAATTGTTGTCATAGTGCTGTTAGGTACTTTCAAACAGATTCTGCATTCCGCTCCACGGTTGGCTGCATTTCAGTGAGAAACAAAATGATTCCTGTAAATGTAAAGTTTGGAGAACATTTTGGGATCCTTTGGATGAATAATACCAAATAAATAAAATAAATATTTATAGTCTTTTAAAAAGTAATAACCTTAGCCTTTGCTTTTCTGTCCTATATTCTGAAGCGGAACACTAGTGTGAAATGAAAACTAAATGCCTCCCCGAAGAACTCTACCTAGCACATTACAAACAGCAACAAGTCACTTGGGGAAATGGTGACACCTGGCTATATTTTCCTGTTTAGTTTCAATGAGTTTTGGGATGATGGTCTCCTACTTCCACTAACTAAGAGGACAGGGAGCCTTTTTAAAAATTAAAAAAGTAACAACATCTAAAATAACGGTTTATACAGTCAATGGAGAAGTGTCCACAAATTTCAGGCAAGACTTTTAAAAATAGATTAATTTAGAATAGAGAGCTGCAGGTTTGATACAGAAAAATGGCTAACCTAATATAGAATCATAGAAGAATAGGGGTTGGAAGAGATCTTAGGAGATCATCTAGTCTAACCTCATGCTCAAAGCAGGACCAACACCAACTAAATCATCCCAGCCAGGGCTTTGTCAAGCCGGGCCTTAATAACCTCTAAGGATGGAGACTCCATCACCTCTCTACATAACGCATTCCAGTGCTTCACCACCATCTTAGTGAAATAGTGTTTCCTAATCTCCAACCTAGATCTCCCATACTGCAACTTGAGACCATTGCTCCTTGTACTGTCATCTACCACCACTGAGAACAGTCGAGCTCCATTCTCTTTGGACCTCCCCTTTTAGGTAGTTGAAGGCTTCTATCAAATCCCCCCTCACTCTTCTCTTCTGCAGACTAAATTATCAAATTATCCCATCTGTTTTCAGGAGCAAAAAGGGGAGCATTACCTTAATCAGTGTTTAATGGCAGATCAGAGTACCTGATCAATACATCCAGCCCTGACTAATTAAATTTATTAGGGGGAAAATGCTGCAGAAAAATGCTGAACCTCAACAGTAATCTCACATTGACACATTAACAGAAAGTACAAGACTCTTATGAGAGTAAGGGAAACTAGAGGGCCTTGCTGGGAGCATCTTGCTATGTTGTCTGCATACAAATCTGTGCAGAAGGATTCACAATTGGATTCACAATTCTATTTCAACCTTAATCATTGGCCATGAGTGTTCTGTGGAACTGAGCTGAGGCCTTTTGCATAGTCATCCCTCTCCTTCAAAAAATGTACCCTTTCCCCTACATCCTTCATTGCCTTCAGAGAGACTTCTCATCAGCCCAATCCTAGCCCTGAGATCCCCTTCACTGGGGTTGTCAGGTGGTTCTACATGGCCACATCCTCTATCATTTAACTTCAGGAAGATGAAAAATGACAGGAAAGGGCCACTGCTCCCCACCCCAATCCATTCCTTTTCTTCAGGCAGAAAATATTGTCTCCCCATAGGACAGTGCAGGAGAGAAAAAGCATTTCTTTGCCCACAGTTGCTGATTTTGTGAGGCAGCAATGGACAGCAGCAGCTAATCTGTAATATGATCGCTTCAGAACATATTCAGGTTGTCCAGCTACTTTGTACTGAGGTTTATGAGCTTTCCCTAGTGTATGCTTTAGAGCACTTGATTCTTTAGCTATTGTGTTTGGAAATCTGGGGTACTATGTGCTGCTGGCTCAGCTGAGCTGGGGTGGAGGGGTACAGAAGGAGATAATTAGGATTTTCTGCTTCCTCTCAACACTTTTCTGATTGAGGTCCTTATCTAGTACCCTTCCACTCCCATTCAAAGGATTAGAGACCATTCAGAGCTTTGTGAAAGCCACCAGATCTCCCCACCATATAGATAAGCCAGGTATATGTCCATTGCTAGGAGGAGCTTATCACCCAGTGTGACCAGTTCAAACCCCATACCATCCCAAAGTCAAGAACGCAGCTCTATCCTTTTCCTATTCCTCCTTTCCTCTATTAAAAAAATACAGTACATGCAACTAACAAAGCTATGCCAAGGTTCTTCACCAGGATGATTTGCTTGTGTGTTCTCATTCCCTAACGTGTGTCTGTTTTTTTCTTTATATGACAAGCCTTTTGGGCTTATGTCTCTTTCTATATTTGTACAGTGCCCAGCATTCTGTAGCTCCAATACTGATCGGAGCATTTGGGCACTAAGATAATATAAATATTTCATCATCATCAAGGGAATATGAGGACTCTGATGTAATAATTAACAACATTAAGCAATCATTTCTTTAATTACTTGTTTAAGGGAAGCTGGACCCTGCTCTCTAATAAGCAAGCATCAATCATCTAAATAACAAATAACTCAAACACTCCTCTTCTTGATTTTACTAACCACATGCATCAGGAGTCCAGTTTGTATGGAGTAGTTCAAAGCTACCCAGTACATCCATCTTCTGGGTGAGTGAAAATAATCTAACCTCTGTTGAAGAGGACTTGGCATTTCTTCCTGCTCTAATTGAGCTGCAACCACAGAGCAATCCAATCAGTATTATCTTCCAAATATTAAAAAATATTCACAGTCAAAATGTCTGCTGTTTTCAGATGAGACATACTGCTAGTCCACAGGCAGAAAACATCTTTCAAATGTGGATTTTTTTTAAAAAAACAGATTAAAAAAAAAAACAAAACCAAAAGAAACCAGTAAACTGCTTTTCTGCCATTATTTCATTTTAAATGGCTTTCAGAGCATTCAACCGGGAATGATTCATGGTTCCTCCACCAGCGCCCAGCTCACCTCAGTGTGCATAGGCATTTCCATTGTTGTTGGAGGTTACAGAAACATCAGAAGGAAATTGTACTCTGATTGTTTGGCTTCATTTTTTTACGTTTCTAAGTCCAATACTATAATGCATGGAAAACATTTTGAGAAGTGCAGAAAATTACAGTGATTTTAACAATTAATTTCCCAAGACTGATTGCAATAAGTCTCTTTCTGTAATTTTTAAAAATACCCAGGTAAACCCAGTGATTCATGTAGCACAGCTCCATGTATTGCTATGGAAGGGACCTGAGGCTGAGACAGACCTGGGGATTCTTATTTCTTGGCATACGAATGACTGAATACCCCACACAATAGTGCTTTGCATTTCTGTAGCACATTTCATCTAACCTTAAAATTAAGCTTTGCAATACTGGTGTATGGTGGGGAAGTGTCATTCCCCTCATTGTACAGATGAGCCAAGTGAGGCTTGGGAGATTTAAGGTCTGCAAAACTCCCATTGACTTCAATAGGCACAGGATTTTACCCTGATCTCTGTACACCCTTACATGGGTAGGGAAGTACTAAAAAGTGTATCTTTTTTGCTGCTATGTATGCAGTAGAGCTGATAAATTGTATTTGTTATGCAAACCATCCTCTTGCCCAAACTATATTAATCCATCATTTATTTTACATGACATTTAAATTCTTGACGTCGGATCAAAATCACTCAATAATGCAAAGTTCTGGGTGTAAGAGTGTAATATCAAAGAGTCCTAATTAACATTATTTTTTTTGCAGAATGTGCTCTGGAGGTTTAAATTCTCTCAGCTCAAGGGGTCTTCAGACGATGGAAAAACAAGAGTAAAGCTGCTTTTTCAGAATCTAGACACCAAACAAATTGAGATGAAGGTAGCTGATATATTCTCTCTCCATTTAGAAAAAAATAATTGAATTTATATTGAAGAAATGAAAGTTTTCATTAAACACTGTGCACGTTTACAATCAACAGTTAAATCATGTATTTTTTTTTTCATATTCTCTAGAAGCTGTGCAACTAATAAAAGTCCTGTGGTGTCTGTAGATTTATTACACCATCTATGTGATTCTGTTCCTGAGATGTATTCTGAAAAACTGTGGTGTATTCATTCAGAATGATCATTTCTCTGAAGTGCCTTCTCTTAAGTGTAGTTTTCCATCAATAAGTGTAATCTTTTAAAATGGATGTAAAAAAAATAGTAAAAATGTTTTATTTTAAAGCATTTTAATATATTTTTCGAGATGCCACATAGCAAAATTAGAGCTTTAAGCAAAAAAGTAGATTTTTCTGATTTATTAATAAAAAAACTATTATATAACTTTTATTATCTCTTATTAATGCCTACATAAGGGCACAGTCTTGCAAGTGGCAGAGCATTTTAACTCCCATCGAATCCATTGGTTTTGAAGTGAGATGACAGCATGCAGCATTGTGTAGGATCAGGTATTAAATAGTGATAAGATACATAGCATTGATTGTATACTGATTACATAGCAACTGTTGTATGATGCACAATCCTTTTTTCTCTCTAAATAACTTTAAACAAGACCTTTAGCTTCAAAATTCAGATCTTAGGATAAGACCCCAGTGCCGTGATGTTTACATTCAAAGTTCTGGTTTGATGCATAGACCTAGTGCTTGCTATGACATTTGGAACTGGGTCCAGGTTATGGACTTTGATCCTGCCAAAGTTTGAGGGTGTTTCAAGTTGCCTATGCAGGCATTGGCCTGGGAGAAAGCTCATGGTGTTGGCATGGGAGAAATGGTGCATTGAGGCTGGAGTCACTAGCAGAGAAGACGAGGTTGGAGAGTAGCAAAGTGAAATACAGAGAGACCTGTGTGAGGTATCTTCTATTGGGCCAACTTCTGTTGGAGAGAGAGACAACCTTTCAAGCCACACAGAACTCTTCTTCAAGGCTGGGAAAGGTACTCCCAGAGTCAAAGCAAAATGCAAGGTGGAACAGCTTATTTAGCATAAGTAATTAGCACATATTGTAAGGGACCATTCAAGGTAGAGTGGCCTGTTAACACTTCTGCAGTAATAGGACAAAAAGAGAGGGTTAGTGGGTTACAGATCATGGTAATAAGCCATAAATTCAGTGTTTCTGTTCAGTCCATGATTTTTAGTCTAGCAGAGTAATGAATTTAAACTCCCAGGCTCATCTTTTGAAAGTGTGCAGGTTTCCTCTGAGGATGAGTATTGATAGGTCAGATATAGAGTGATCATGTTGTGAAGAGTAGTCACCCACGGTAGTGAGGTGTTTTGTGTTTTATCATTTTATCATTTTCCTGTGTGAGTTCATTCAAGAGTGTAAATATTATCTCACCCACCTTGTCTGTCAAATATCCTGGGACTGACACAGCTACAATGCATGCAACAGCGAAATACAATCAGATAAGAAGGGAAAGACAGTCATGTATGGCTTTGAAGGCAATGGCAAGAGCTTGCATGTGATGGTATGCAGAAGAGGGAGCCAGTGAAGGAATTTAGGTGGCACAATGGGCAAAATCAGTAAAAACAAGAGTTTTAAACATTCTAAAAATTCCTTCCCCTCTTGTGGTGGTCATATTTCAGTTTCTTGTTATTTGTGAGGTTATAATCCAATTTCTATGCCAAAGATTATAAGCAAAACTGTAAATTAGGCAAGACCTGGTCTTTTCAATGTTAAAAACAGTAGCAAGAAGAAAACATTCTGGGCTTCTTCACAAATCATGCCTTACTAATCTACTAGAATTCTTTGAGGGGGGTCAACAAGCATGTGGACAAGGGTGATCCAGTGGATATAATGTACTTGCACATAGGCAGCAGATTTAAAACAAATAAAAGGAATTACTTCTTCACAGTCAACCTGTGAATCTCTTTCCCGGTGGATGTTGTGAAGGCCAAGAATATAACAAAAACTAACTAGATAAGTTCATGGAGGATAGGTCCATCTATGGCTATTAGCTAGAATGGGCAGGGATGCAAAACCTTGCTCTGAAGTGATCCTAGTCTCTGTTTGCCAGAAGCTGGGAATGGGCAACAGGGGATGGGAATAAAAATACTTCCTTATTTCACAAGTATTTTCATTTATGTTTGTTAAAAATATTGAGCTCTTCAGATTGAAGGTGCTACATAAGTACAAAGTATGTGTGAGCATACACACACAAATGTACACCGGACCCTTGCTAGAATGCGGGATTTGGGATCCATGCATGGTACTGCGTTAACACGGGGACTGCATTAAAATGAATTGCAATTAAAGTAATTAAATTTGGGATCCATGGCCATGACCCCATTATATGTGAATTTGTGCTATATAGACATGTGTTCTAGCAAGGGTCTGGTGTATATGTACAGTACAAATGCTGACAGAACAGAATGAAAGCTCATTGAATGGCATGAGAATAAGGTGAGTAAAGTAAAGGCATGCCTGAACCTTGTGGGTATGTACCCTGAATGGCTCTCTACACATCCAAGCAGTACCTCCTCCATCTATACCCCTATTTTTAGAAGTGCAGTGTCCCACTGTCTCACTGCTATCTGAGCCTTTCCCAAAGACCACAGGGAAAGGCTCTGGCAATGGGAATGCAGTGAGGAAAGGTTCCAGCAGCTCCCTTTCACTAGTGGATGTAGCTACACACCACAGTGTGGATGCAACTTGCTTTTCACAGCTGCGTGTAGCTATGTATACCCTACACACAGCCACCGGGGTGTGCAGTGTAGACATAGCCTTAGGCTTCAGAATTATGGCTTGGACACAAAAGGATACAGCATTGATTCCCCCCCTCTACCCTGATGTAGTATTAGTGCAGTATATGAGTTTAAGATAACGAAGGAAGAATTTCAAAGAGGCAGATGGTGCCGAATAGGGAGGTGCAGCCAATAACGAGAAACACAAATGTAATCAAATAATGGAAGTTTCATTTCTCGTGAATAGATGAGCTAGTAGATGTCAAACGAAGCTCAGTATGGATGAGTTATAACATTCACTTGGCAGCAAATGCTATAGTTAATGTTGCAAAAGAGTTTCCTGGATTACCCCTAATTTCATATGCTTGTAGCCTTCTGAAAAAACTCTCCTTTGGGAATTAAATTTCCATCCATGGTGTTTGGACAAAGGTTTTCTCTCTCTCTCTCTCTCTGTACAGTTTGAGAAAAATTCCTTGTGTTGTGTTCTTGGATTCTAGATGACTGAAAAAATACACTTCTCCAATAAAACAAAGTTGCCACTTTTCTTCATACAGATAACCAAACAACTCCTAGACAGTCAAATTGCATGTAATTAGTCTCTGATCAAGTTTGGAGGGAAAAAGGCTGAATATTAATTAAGTTTGAAGAATGGAAAATTGCATTTCCTTCTTATGCAGCAGAGAATTCTTTTAAGTTGGAGTTTGACTTGTGGAGAGAATTGCATAGACATGCACTCTTTGATATGAGAGGCCTTAACAATATACGCTGTTTTTCGTGCTGGTTTGTGGATATTGGGACAGATCCTGCATGCCTTTCCTATTTATATTTAAATGGGGAAATGCCTGATATCAGGTGGCCAGGTGCAGGAAGCGGTGAGGGCCAAGGGATGTGCTGGCCGCCGCTTCCCGCAGCCCTCATTGGCCTGGGATGGCGAACTGCGGCGAATGGGATCCGCAATCAACTGAATTTGTGGATGCGGCAGGTAAACAAACAGGCCCGGCCCGCCTCGGGGCTTACCCTGGTGGGCCGCGTGCCAAACATTGCCAATCCCTGGATAAGAATAAGACCACAGTATAAAATGAGAAAGTTTGTAAGGAATTTGCTCTTTTCTAAGGTCCGTATACTGCATTTGGTCTCTGTGTAGAATGCTCATTAATGTCACTGAGGGCTGAATATGTGGATTAGAACAGTGTGTCTCTCCAGGGCTTTTAACAGCACACTCAGGGACTGATCCAAAATCTATTAAAGTCAATCAGAGTCTTTCCATTGACTTCAGTGAAGTTTGGATCAAATCCTAAAATCCTTGAAGACAGTTTTTTGTCTGTTATGTGATGTAGCTTGCAGACATTATAATTCAAGTTTAAAGCTTTTGTTTGGCTGGAGATGGGAACTGTTATATTAAAGGCTATATTATAATACAGAAAAAACATGACCATGCACTTCATTTTAGTTGGATGTGTGTGTGGGGGAACAAATAAACAATAAAAGATATAAACAACAATATTTCTTCTCTCTTGGTGTTTATATCCAGTTGAGATACTGATTAATAATTTACATCTACTGTACATAAAATGTGTATTTAGAAAACTTATTTCCATATATGCTCCATATCTGTCAGGCAAGACAGAAAAAATACTTTGTGCTTCTGATATAAAAAAAAAATCAGAATAAGGATTATGTGGGTTTATTTTCTTCAAAGGATTTTAACCAACACTTTACACTTTGTTTTTCTTTCACAAGAAGATCTAATTTTGCATGTGAAACTTGAATGAATATTTTAGCAGCTAGCTGTCATTTATCACCAATTACAACAAAGTGAACACTTTAGTTAAGTTCCCAAAGAGTTTTCGTTCTTTCAGGGTAATTTCTGAACTAATATTTCTTCATCTATTGACTAGCCACATGTGAAAGCAGGATCCTGAAAGATTCTTGCCTCTTCCTTTTTAAAAATAACATGAATATTTTTAACCAGCTATAAATAATTTTTTAAAAACAGCATAGTCAGCCCATCAGCAGTTCCACTGCAATATTAGCTGTACGTATGTGTGTTCATAACTTTACTACTTTTACTATAGGGCAGAAGTGATGTTTGTCTTGGAAATGTTACCTTTTCGTTGCTAATAGCATAGACGAGGAGGCAATTTGAGCTGTTCTTGATATTAGCGGCTACAGAGGAGCTAAATCTTGCTGGGGCTTTCA